TAAGTAGAATAAAACAAGCCCCGCAGCAAACGACCATTACTATACTAAAACCCCAGTTAAAATCAATTGAACATTAAAACAGCAGGAAAATAAAAAGGGTTTTGCCTGACGCTGAAAAGAATATACAGTATAATCTTCACCTCTTCAGCCATCTACTTCTTTCCTGCTTTCCCACTCAATTTGCTCAGTATGACATGCCAAGGTTTGTTTGTTTTTCAGCGCCAGGCCAAGACCTTTTTATTTAAAAGTTATTTTAATTGTTAATTGTTGATTGTATTTATTTATCGGCTTTTATATTTGAGCTGAGATGTCTCCGGATTTTTAAGGTTAACTGTATGATGGTTTATTTGTTTTATAAGCCGCCCCGAGGCTTTTTGCGAATGGGGCAGCATAGAAATGTTCTAAATAAATAAATAAGGTTAACGGGCTGCATTTTCCTGCTTCCTGTTTGCACCAGGGACGCGGGAATATAGCTCCTTTGAGCTGGAGATGTCACAGGTCGGCTTCTCCACGCACCTTCTAGAGGTAAGAGGATGGCGGGGGGGAAAGGGCCGCGCAGCGTCTCCGTCTCCGTCTCGGGGTGGGCCTTCTGGGGATGGCGCTCCAGCGCTGGGGGGCTGCACTCGGCCCCACGCGGGCTCGGCTTCTGCAAAAGGTCTTTTTATTTCTGCACGCTTCCCTGGATGAGCAGCCCAGGTCGAATGCCATCACTTGGTTTTGAACATGGTTGCTCTTTGTATTTTCACTCTGTTCTGTTCCGTTTTCTGGTTTACCACTTGGGAATTCTGTTTCGGCTTTTGAGCCCTCTGTACATTCCACAGGTAAGAAAATTAAATGCATAAAGTCTCACACTGAACGGATGTGAAAACTGATACCATAAGCACTAGGAGAAATAAAATAAAAACGCCTTTCCCAGTCTCTCTGCCAGGAGGGCAGGAGGGGGCTGGGGGAGGCAGTTCCCAAGGGAAGGGGCCAACACTGGGAAGGCCCTGCCTGCATCACTGCCCTCTGTGTGCAGAGCCATCCAGAGCCGGGCACTGGAAGAGGCTCTTCGTGGAGAGGAAAGTTTGCCGCAGAGCAGGCGGGCTTTTGCAAAACCGGGCCTGGTTGCTCAGGCCAGGTGTGGCCCCCAGAGCTGTGCTTGTTACAAGACCTGGTGCTGGATTGCTTGAGAGCCCTGCATGTTCAGTCACCTGGGCAGGAATGGACCATGGGCGGCAAGCGCCCAAGCAGAGCGTCTGGCTCGGGGGCAGAACCCAGGCGGAAACACCAGGGAGGGCTGCACCCCGCACAGGCTCCCCACCCCGCCCCAGAGGCTTCAGCTCTCTCTGTGGGCCTCCACCTCCCCCGGGGGACCCCTCTGTGAGCCCAAACCCCTGGGGGCCACTGGGGTCTGGAGAGGAGGTGGGGGAGGAAACCCCGAGGTGTTGGAAATCAAGGGGAGAGGCTCCCCCCAGCGGCTCCCCGTCCTCACCGGCAATGGCCGCAGTGCTTCCTGTGATGTCACATGCAGCCCCTGAGGTGCCAGGAACCAGATGAGGCCGGGGGGCTGCCCCCTCCCCACGCAGGAGCAGCCCCCTCCCCCAGAAGCCGCTTGGCCCTTGGAGGGCTGCCTTCGGCCCCTGCTCAAAACTCCCTCGCCCTCCCCAGAGCTTGTGGGGTGGCCTTGTGGGGTCCAGCCAGTGACCTCCAGACTAAGCTGCCTCACAGGACCATTGTGGAAATAAACGTGGGGGGACTTGACTTCCCCCTTGGGCTTCCTGGAGGGAGGAATGGACAGAACTGCAATGGGGAAACCAGAAGCGGCCAGCGGAGGCCTTCCCCTCCTGGCAGGGCAGCATTGATAGGAAGAGTCTCTCTGCGCATACTCAGAGGGATTTCTCACTTCATGGTGAGGGTCCCTGTTGAAAACCCTGCGAATAAGCAAATCTGTGTAGCTGAAAGCACCCAGAAACGGTTGCGGGGCTGCCAGGAGCTGTGCGCAAAACCAGACCGGAGAGCCGCGCATGAGGCCCGTGCTCGAGGCTTCCAACGTGACACGCTCATGTTTTGACGGCGAAAATGAAATTCTCGTGGGACCCTACACTAAACGAAGAGAATGAATTGTACAGCCTTTATTTTTAGTATTTTTTGCTGTATTTTAGTGTTGTTTGCAACGTGTTATAGTTTTTATTATGCTTTTATCGTGTGGTGGTGAGCCGCCCAGAGGTGCTGTGGCACGATCGGGCGGCATCCAGATGTTCTGAATAAACAAACCAGTTAGCGAGCGAGCCGTGCTTGACTGCCGCTGAGGCTTCCTTCCCCCTTCCAGGACGGCATCCTCTTTGGCATCGTCGGGGCTTATGACTGGGATGGTGGGGTGCTGAAAGAGGGCCGGACGGGCCGGTTCATCCCTCCGCGGGAAGCCTTCGAGAAGGAGTTCCCGCTGAAGCTGAAAAACCACGCCGCCTACCTGGGTAAGGAAGGAGGCTGCACAGCGTCCCGCCCAGGGCCCCCATGGTCCTGAAGAAGGGGCCGCTCCCGGGGCCACACAAGCCAGACGGGCCCTCCACGCCGGTCCCTGGGCCAGTGGCCCCCGTCACTGATGGGAAGGACCGTGTTGGAGCAGCGGTCTTGTGTCAACCACAGGCATCTTGAAGAAACACCTCTCCGTTTATCCATTTTATTTAATTTACATGTTGATTTAGTTCAGTGCTACTATGGTGCTGTTTGGTGTTACTGGGTTCCTTCCAGTTTCCACAGCTCTTAGCACCTCTCATTTTTGTTTTTCTTGTTTCCACTCATCTTGTGGAGTAGGTCAGTGTTTGTTCCCATTTTGCAGAAAGGAGAACTAAGGCTGAGGGTTAGAAGGACTTCCCCAAGGACTTGCAAAGCTCAGGGAACCAAGATTAAGGGTGGATGCCCGGAAGCACTTCCTGACAGTCAGGGCCCCAAGGGTGTGGAATGGGCTTCCACGAGAGGTCGTTGAGGCCCCATTGGTGCGGGTGTTCAAGGACAGGCTGGACATGCACGTGGTGGGCTTGTCGTGAGCAGAGCTGGCTGGAGTCTGGGGTCAGACTAGATGACCCGGGAGACCCCTTCTTATGTGCTCTGTTTCTCTGTTTCTAAGGCTAAGAGCAAGCACGGAGCCCGAGACATGGCAGGGATTAGTTATTTCTGCTCTTTCTCCTCCCTCACCCAGGCTACACCGTCTCCTCCATCAAGCTCAGGAATGGGAGGGGGCTGTATGTGGCCGGTGCCCCCCGCTTCAAGCACAAGGGGAAGGTGGTCCTCTTTGAGATGAGCCGGGACGGCAGCGTCACCATCTCCCAGGCCCTGGCTGGGGACCAGGTGAGGCCCAGCGTGGCAGTGGCTCATGTTGGGATCTTGCTTCAGAGCATGACCCCTGCTTCTGCAAATGTTGCTCCCTGGAAAGAAAATATGTGCAGAGGAGGAAAGCACTCTGCACGAGCCTAGGGGCCCTCTCGTTTCATGGAACATCACTGTTGGGTACTGCAGAGGCCCAGGCTCGTCGTGGAGTCGACCCCAACCCCATGGAGAGCAGGGGGGCCCAGTTTTAAGGGCAAACGGAGGAGGGAGGTGCAGGCACGCTGGCGGAGTCTGCGTAGGTTTGGTGTCGTGGGCCAGCTTGCCGGGGCCCACACCCTGCAGACAAGAGCCCCCTGCAGAGCCCCCTTCTCCATCGCAAGCTGCTTCTTGCTGTGGCCCAGGATGGTGGTGGGATGAAGGAGGGCCAGGAGATGCTGCGTGGCAACCAGCGGGGGGCAGCCAGCGCCCGGATCCGGGCCGCTCGGGGTCTCCCTCTGGTGGCCAGGCCCAGAACACCCACCCCAGTGCACGTGGGATTATCGGTGCCAGGCTGGCTGGAGCTGGGGCCCTGGGGAAGCGCTCCCCCTTCCCTCCCAGTCCAGCCGCGGCACCTCGGGGCCCCTCGCTGGCCTCCGATTCTGCTCTTGCCGCATCGGGCCAGGCCTGCCCCCCCTCGCCCCGCCCCGCTTTGCTGCCTTCCCCAGCCTGCCGCACCTTCGCTGCTCCCGGCCCCGGCCCGATCATGCTCCGCTCGGTCGACTTCGGCCAGTTTGCAGCCGCTGCCTTGTCCTTCCTGACGCGGGTTCCCGGTCCTGCCCCAGGCTCGGCCTGGCTGCTGGGCTCGCACCGGAAGCTCTGCCTGAAGCTCTGCTCCCCAGTCCCGGTGCCTCTGCCGGGATTCCTGCAGCCCGCATCCCGCCCCCGGCCAGCTCTCTGGGCAGGGGGGCCCACGGACGGCCCCCAGCTGGCTGTGAGCACCAAGGAGCACCAGCGCCTCTCCCACACCCCTTTGGTCCGCGCTGATGGCCTTAAAATGTCGGTACGACACTGGGAAAAACGCATCGTAAAGGAAGGTGACTATGTAGAAAAGGGATGCAACTTGTTTTTGAAATTCTTAATAAACAGCGTTTTAAAAAGTGCGGAAACTCCCATTTTCCTTCAAGACATGAATCTCAAGGCCTGTTTTCATGCTTGTGCGGCCAAGGACTGGCTCACAACTTTGGGGCAGTGCTGAATCCAGTGGACGGTGAGGGGCAGGTTCGTTCTGTAGCCCAGATGTGCCGGCCAGGTTGTTCCCTGTTGGAGTTTACAAGAACACAGCGCTGTGAATCTCTGGTGAAAACAGGCAGCGAGATTCTGCGGATCGTGGTTTTGTTTTCTGACCCTGGGAGACTCTTTTGCACCGGAACTGCCTCTCTGCTCTTCCATCCAGAGACCGGGCTCCTTATTTTTCCTTTTTTAGATGAAAGGTACCATGGTGTGCCAGTTTAGACAAGAAAAATCCCTGCAGCCCATCCAAGGAGCCATGCGCCTTGCTTGGCTTGTCCCCGGGAGTCAGTGGGGACTTTTCCATCTCAAAATGCACAGGATCGCACCCTCCGAAGCTGTTCCAATGGGGACTGGCCCAGGCCTCGCGTCCGGCGGAGCGGGGCCGGCACATTGTGACGTTGCCGCTCTCCGCCTGTGCAGGTCGGCTCGTACTTCGGCAGCGAGGTGTGCCCCGTGGACGTGAACGGGGACGGAATCACAGACGTCCTGCTGGTGGCTGCGCCCATGTACCTCGGACCTCAGAACAAAGAGACGGGCCGTGTTTATGTCTACAGGGTGGGGCAGGTGAGTGCGCTTGGGTCAGGTAATGCTGTCCACCCTCCTGACGTGGGGCTCTGGGTCAGGCAGCTTCCTCAAGTGTGGCAAGAGTCTGGTGATCAGGTGAGTCCTGATCTGTTTCTGTCTCTGTCTCTGCCCCCTACTCCCTTATCTTAGTCCCTCTATCTCCCTGTGCCAAGGGAGGTGCGGGAGCGCAGCTGCGCCTGAGGGGGGGGCAGCTCAGAACCCCACGGCACTGTGCCAAGAACCCCCCCAGAAACCCTGGAAAAGAATAAAAATGATCACGATGGTGCTGGTGCAACAGGGACCCTCAGATCATACAAGGCAGAGTCTGACGAGGTGAAAACATTTCTCCCACAAGCCCAGTCTTGCCAAGTTCAAAGGCAGCACCTCGTTGACTTCCTTTGGACTTGGATAGCGCAGCCCGTGTGAGCGACCGTGGGAGTTGTAGGCTGCATGACGCAGGTTTTCTCAGAACAGTGGGGTGGTTATTAAGGTCGAACAGGTTGTGTAGTGAAACAGGTGGGGAGGTTCACACTGAGGAAGAGAAGATTCGGGGGGGGGGGGGCACCTCCCAGCAGGCCACAGGGGTCTGTTGCGCTGCAGAGGGAGCTCAGTGTGTGTTGAGAGGAGAGAACTCGAGGCTAGGAGCAAAATTCAGGAACACACGTTTGTGAGTCTTCAAGCCTCAGCCATGGAACAGCGGAAGCCTTGCCTATTGGGCAGTATATAAATGAATTAACTCAACCAGCAGATCTTTGAAGGGGTGGGTTCTCCTTTGCCAGAGGTATTTCGGCTGAGGCCGGATGGGGTTAGGGTCAGGGTGCAGAGTTTGCCCTGGCGGTGGGTTGGTCTAGATGACCTCTGAGCCCCCTCCCGTCTCTGCAGTTTTGCGGTCACACTCTGAGAAGTCAAAGCTTTCTTCCTGAAATGCGGCCCGCGCACCAGACTCTCTTCTTCCTCTCTTGCGCAGTCGCTGCTGTACCCCAACGGGACGCTGCACGCCGACGCCAAGCCGCAGGACGCCCGCTTCGGCTATTCCCTCCTGGTGGTCCCCGACCTGAATCACGACAGCTTCAATGATGTGGTGGTGGGCGCGCCGTTGGAGGAGAACCACCAAGGAGCGGTCTACCTGTACCACGGGTACCGCACCACCGTGCTGCCGCGCTTCAAGCAGGTGAGCGGGCGCAGCTGCCGGGGCCCACGGACCCGCTGCTCCTCTTCCCCACCGGCTGCTTCCTCTGGCCAGACGGCGGAGTGGGGAAAGACCAGCGCATCCCGTGGGCAGCCGCGATGAGGAAGAGGACGAGGAGGAAGGGGGACCGTGGTGTGGGGAGGAGGGTGGTCTTGCTGTTCTCCAGCTCTTGAGGGCTTCTCCTTTTAGACGTGACACAGAGATGAAATTAGCAGAAAGCACCGGCAGCCAGCCCAGCCCAGAGCAGGGGTCCCAGGACTGCTTTTCCCCTGAGCTGCTTTCCGGGCAGGACTTTCCTGACCGTCGGCTTTGCAAGAGATCAGAACTGAACCAAAACCTGATTCCATTTGGCTTTCTGTTCCCATGAGGATCCGTACCTGTTTTCTTTGAGGCCATTTCCTCTTTCTTCTTCTCCCTAAGTTTGCACATTTAATTCACTTTAAATTGTTGGCACAAAAGGAAGGAATGGGTATAACAGAGACAAATGGACAAGGGAAAACCCTCTGGGTAAAGTTCAATGTTTTGTTTTTTTTTGGCTCTGGCCTCTTGGCAGAGCGGCAGAGGCACAGGCTGGGAGAGAGGGCTGAGGGTCGCCAGGGGACA